ATTGCTGCCCTATGCGAAACGGATTGCGCGGGGCCTATTCTGGGTAGGGATAATGATAATAAGTGAAAATTAAGATTTTGTATTAAAAAATAAATTCGTCTTTGCATTTTATACATTCTTAACTAAGTACAAAATCACGATCAAATTAACTTGACGAGCCTTGTGTGTAGCGAAGTCCTACAGTAGATCATCAAAATTCTGTTTCTTACATGGGTCACGCTCAATTGCAAGAATTGCCACAATGTTCAATCTCTCTTCGTGAATTGTTGACCTTAAGTAATTATTGATTGGTTTAAGACGCGAGAAACTTCTTTCACAAGATGCCACAGTTACAGTTCAAATCTCAGCTGTAAGAAGTAAATTGCAGTGTTCACAATTCTGTTGAAGCACTTTATCCTGTAGCCATCTTCAGCTTTTCGATGTGTGAAGTTTTCCACAGATTTATCATATTGCCTTTTCCTTTGACGTTTGGCTGGAAAGATTGCTATAACATCCATGTTTCCAGCCAACTTCTTTTCGCTGTCACAAGAAGAAACAACAGGAAGAAACTTCAAACGTTCATACACAACCACAAGCTCTTTCACATTAACACTTTCTGAGAGATAACATCTGCTCGTGGTGACTTATGTTTGGAGTACAATCCAATATCACTGCATTCTGGATGTCTCGAAGGATATAATTCACCACAGCATCAGCTACAGTTCGTTTCGAATCTTCTTTCTCAGGTAACGATCATGAATTTCTGCATTGGTAACACGTCGAAGTTGTTCCTCCATTACTGGATCAAACTTTGAGAGTAATTCTACTAGACTTAGGAAATTCCCATTACTTATCTCTTCAAGTCTTTCAATGTTTCCTCTGAAAGCTAAATTTCGCTTCGCTAGAAATCGTACAATTGCAACTAGTCCAGCGTTTAAGTTTCAGAATAAAGCATCTCCTGGTGAACTTTGTCAATGCCTGTTTCTTTTTGACTTAGTCTAGCTCCTTCAGTTAAAAAGGAACTTTTTGTTTTTCCGGTAGGCGACAGTAGAAACAATAGATCTTGTCTGCTGACACAGAATATATCAGCCAAGGACGCAAAACACTTTCACCATTACTCAGGTTTGGTTTGCAATGCACTTAAGAGAAATGTCTACCATCCTTATTTTTAGGAAAATTCTCCAAGTAATCTCAGGTGGACCTTTTTGTAATAAATAGTCAACACAAGATCTTACCATTTTTTCTAGATACATGGCAGGATAATCTAGATTTCTCCACATTTAGCTCATTATCTATAACTACATGTTGATCAGTTGTTACATTATTGCCTTCATTTCTTACGACATGTTGATCAGTTGTTACATTATTGCCTTCATTCCTTACGACATGTTGATCAGTTGTTACATTATTGCCTTCATTTCTTACGACATGTTGATCAGTTGTTACATTATTGCCTTCATTCCTTACGACATGTTGATCAGTTGTTACATTATTGCCTTCATTCCTTACGACATGTTGATCAGTTGTTACATTATTGCCTTCATTCCTTACGACATGTTGATCAGTTGTTACATTATTGCCTTCATTTCTTACGACATGTTGATCAGTTGTTACATCATGTTCTTTTTCTCTTACGACATGTTGATCAGTTGTTACATTATTGCTTTCATTTCTTACGACATGTTGATCAGTTGTTACATTATTGCCTTCATTTCTTACGACATGTTGATCAGTTGTTACATTATTGCCTTCATTCCTTACGACATGTTGATCAGTTGTTACATTATTGCCTTCATTCCTTACGACATGTTGATCAGTTGTTACATTATTGCCTTTATTTCTTACGACATGTTGATCAGTTGTTACATTATTGCCTTCATTCCTTACCACATGTTGATCAGTTGTTACATTATTGCCTTCATTCCTTACGACATGTTGATAAGTTGTTAGTGTTACATCATGTTCTTCTTCTCTTACGACATGTTGATCAGTTGTTAGTGTTACATCATGTTCTTCTTCTCTTACGACATTCACCTCTGAAGTTTTTGCATTCTTCATAGACTCTGTTTCAGCTGTCTCACTAGAAGTGATTATGTTCTCATTTTCGGGTTTTGATCGTTTTAAAAACGTATTCTAGTTCTATTGGAACTTTCGTTTCGGTTAAATTCGCACTATTATTATATTTTTATTTAAATATGAAAGCTGACAATGCTTTTTTTTTTATTCGCGTAAGACTTGTGTTCTCCATATAACAATTTTGTCAAATTTTCAGAAGATTTTGAAAATAATTTCTACGACTTTTTCGTATATTTTGCATCATTATGCAATCACAGATATACATAGCGCGGGGCCTATGAAAGCGCGGGGCCTATGAAAGCGCGGGGCCCACTGCGGCCGCATAGGTTGCAGTGGCTTAAGACCGGCCCTGACCATATCCTTTTTGAATGCCCCTCCCTAATCCACCTTAGACCTTAGGCAGACCCTACTTCCACTACAGCCCAACATAACCAAACACCCTGTACGGCAGTGCTGAACAACTGAAGAAAACAGCACACTTTTTTTCCTTGGCACAGTCTGCAAAAAAGCTCACAGCTCAACAGCAATAAAGCTGGCTAGAAGAAGAAAAATGACGGCTGATACATTTATGAATATTAAAACGTTCTTGAAATGTCTTGAATATTAATAAGTTTATGAAAGGTGATGTGTTCGTGAATCTGTATAGGTTCTGAAAGGTTCCTAATTCATTCATGTTGAAACTGTTCTGGTTTTCACAGAGAATACATAAGTTACTGTAGGCAATTAAACATCACAATTAATTAACAGAGACTTCGTGTTGATATAAGTAGACTTTGGAAACTATCACAATATGATCATATTAGCACAGAACCTTCTGAAAGTTTGCCAATTCATTCATATTGAAACCTTCTGAAAGTTTGCCAATTCATTCATGTTGAAACCTTCTGAAATGTTCAATATTCGTTAATGTTGCAAAATTCTGAAAGATTAAAGTTGATACGTTTGTAAACTATCTGGAGTGTTGATAATTTATGAATGTTAATACGTTCTGGAATTTTAATAAATTTACGAGTGTTGATATGTTCTGGATTTATCGATCATTTATGAATGTTGATACGTTCTGGAATGTTGATAAAGTTCATGAACTGAATGGTTTCTGCCCAGGGCTCTTCTAATAGAAGATTTGAGCTGCTTGGGCACTTTCTCAGATACGTTCGTGAATGTTGATATGTTCATAACTACTTACTACATTTACGAGTGTTGATACGTTTATGAACATCGATACATTTTTGAATGCTAATTTATATTAATGTTGATGTGTTTATGAAAATAAATTATTTGGAGAACTCGTCAGCGTCCGTTTGGATGCAAATTATTTCGCTGTTATTTCCAGATCAAATCTGCCACACAACTGTCATTTGTTAAGAAATGTAGCGTCCTGATAACATCGCCATCATCTTATTACATCTAGGTCGCTCAGGGCCATAGTTTGTTTTCCCTGCATCTGCTGTCACTTGAACAGCATGATTCAACTTCATTCTTTGTGTGCTACTCCTCCCAACCGCCCTCCTCCTTGTCCCCTTAAGATGTCCCACTGGTCTCACCTGAAGGTAGCATTTCTCAAACCAGGATACGTGTACCCTTGGGGGGGGGGGATGTTTTGGGGCATAGCCAAACTAGGCAGCCGCCTAGTGCCTCCTATTGGGGGGGGGGGGGGGGCTCGCACAGGACTAAAAAAATTTTAGGGATCAAAGTTGCGAAACATTGGATCAAATTTCAAACATAACAGAACTCCATGACTCGTCTACTAGCCTAGCTCTCTCTATACGGAACGCTACTGGAATCGCGCTACAAGCATGTATTTTATTTGTAGATTTTGATATAGATACAGGTAGATTTTAATTAATCGCGTAATTTTATTTTTCGGTCTTTTTTTTCTATTTCATTTGGGGCCACCTAATTCACTTCGCGTAAGGCCTCCGATCACTTCAGGCCGGCTCTGCAGAAAGGAATAAGATGAAGAAAAGACATGAGTACTGCAACAAAACAAAAGGTTTGGGATTGGATTCCAATATTATCAAGTGAAGTTATAGGGAGGTCACGTTTTATAAGTATGTAATTACTAACATTTACTAGAGTGTACATCTTAACAAAAAACGAACATAAGTCAGCGGTTCTCGACCTTTTAAACTCGGCGACCCTTTTTTACAATCCGCCACTCTGCCGCGAACCCTCCCCCCTCGATCACACACATACAGCAATAGAAGAATAGACAAAACATTCCACATTTTGATGGTCTTAGGCGACCCCTGGTAAATCAACCCTCTCCCCCCAAGGGGGTCGAGAATCACAGGTTGGGAACCCCTGAACTAAGTTAAACACACGTATCGCATATATTTTTTTTAGTATTATTTGTTATTGTAGTTATATATTTATTGAAGGATTGTAATTAACTTAAAAGATAAATCAGGGGTCAGAAAAAAAAAAGTCAAATTAAATTAAGAAAAAAAAACAACAGCTGATGAGGAGTGTTTACGGGGGAGGGTGGGGTTCATCTTTAGTTCTGCCCTCTCCCTTAAACCCCACCCTCCCCACACCAAAACTTCAAGTACAAAAGAAGCCACAGTGTAGATTTGCGTACCTGTGCTCTGGTGGTGTTGTACAGCAAGGACGTCTTATTTGCAAGCTCTTGCTTATTCACGTTGACGAAATAGAAACCAAATGCGATGATGTTAGGAGGTGGGGGTGCCTGTGTTGTGACTGCTGTCGGCTGGCTGAATGCCCCTGCCGAAACAAAGATATATAAAAGAAAACGAGTTTTACGTGTGTTTAATTTTTATAGAAGTATTTTTTTTTTACATAGGTAAGAAGAGGTGGCTTTTAAATAAAATTTAATATATATATATATATATAATGATATATAAAATGATGTCAAGGTCGAGAGTGCTTGAAGATTTCTTCGAAGAACAAAAAACATTTTTATGTGAACCTAAAAGTGCATGATCTTCGGCCATACCATGTTGAAAATACCGGTTCCTATCATAGTACCGAAGTGAAGCAACGATGGTTATGATTAGAAATTAGATGGGTGTTCGCTTGGGAACACCACGTATTCTACACCTTTTTAGGAAGCGCGGTGGCTGAGTGGTAAAGCGCTTGGCTTCCGAGCCGGCGCTCCTGGGTTCGAATCACGTTGTAGACTGGGATTTTTTATGTCTGGATCTTTAGGGCCTCTGAGTCCATTCAGCTCTAATAGGTGCCTGGCTTTAGTTGGCGGTTGGTCTTTGTGATGGTCACATGACACCCTCATTTACCGTGGACCACAGAAACAGATGACCTTTATGTCACTAGGTCTGAAAAGGGAACTTTACTACTTTTACCGCCAAACCAGAGATGGCGAGAACAGTCCAAACCACAAAATCTTATCTTCACCAGGATTCGAAGCCGGGTCTTCGGCTCGGAAGCCAAGTGCTTTACCACTCAGCCAGCACTCCTTTCTGGTATGGGGTTAGCTTGTAATAATTCTCATTTCTAAAAGTAAGCCCAGAACGTGTAAAACAAAACAAAGCCAAATTTACGACCTCACCAAGCAGGCTGATAATAAAATGCTTTATTTATTCATAAAAACAACGTTTATTTGAAAACTAGGCAAAGGTCTGTATGAGGCTCGAATTAGACCCTGCGTATTATTCAATTGGGGAGATAAATTAGAACATAATTTGTACTATGTATTATATAAATACTAGAAAAAAAACAAAAAAACTAGATAGCAAAATTTGCAATGAGCTAAAAGAGAGAAAGCAACTTTTTCTTTCAATAAGATTATAACAAAAACAAGCAAAATATAATACAAATTACAGGAAGATACAAAGCTTATCAGAGGGGAAGAACTTCACACTTTCACTATATCTTTCTATCAATGTATCATGTCGAAGTTATTCCCATTATTCGATATCAAACAAAATAATGAATTACCAATTATTAATTTTAAAATAGTTAAATTTTAAAAAATAGATTCATGTTTTGTTAGGTACAATAAATATTTTTTTTTAATTTTCAACTTGATCCGAAAAAGGATGTGGGAGAAATAAGCACAATTATCTAAGGAGACCAAACCCTACATATTTTAGCCATATCAGTGAACACTGAAGGATTAATTTCCCTTCTTGATAATAAAATTAGATACCAGTAATTAATTGACTCATTGGTTACTTATTTTTTTTATTGATTCAGGTCATGCGAATGAATAATTGTGCAAAGTTTCAACTTGATCAGAGAATGGTGTGCGAGAAATAAAGTGTACAAACTTTTTACTAGACAGACATACAGACAGATGGAAAGAGTGAATGGATATAAGCTTTGTAAAATATAAGAAAGACAGAAAGAAAAAGATGGGAAAACAAAGAATATAAGAGCTAGAGAAGGAACTTGTGAGACTAGAGAGCAAGATAGAAAGAGAGAGAGAATGAAATAGAGAGAAAAAGAGAGAGAGAACGAGAAAAAGAGAGGGTGAAAGAGAGGGAGAAAGAGAGAGAGAACGAGAAAAAGAGAGGGTGAAAGAGAGAGAAAGAAAGAGAGAAGGAGAGAAAGATAGGGAGAGAAAGAGAGGGTGAAAGAGAGAGGGAGACAGAGAGAGAGAGAAAGAGAGGGAGAAAGAGAGAGAGAAGGAGAGAAAGAGAGGGTGAAAGAGAGATAGAGAAAGAGGGGGAGAAAGAGATGGAGAGAGAGGGAAAAATAAAGAAAAAGAGAGAGAGAGTGCGCGATGAAGGAAAATAATAAACAAAACTTTAAAAGTTTACCGTGCTGAAGTAAAGTAATCAATCCTACTAAAACTGTAGCAATACTTAATAGTTTCATTTTGTATAAACTTGTTCTTTCAGACCAGCTGAAATCTGAAAAAAGAAAAAAAAGATTCTTACAGGTTAATAATTCGATTCTCTTTATTTTGTTGTATAATTTTATAAATAACTAACTCATAATAATAATAATAATAAGATATACAGCAGTGTAACTCGCAACATTAAGCCAAATAGTAGAATCGATACTATTTTGTATGAAATAGTCGAGAAATTGTTTAGTTTAGGGTTAAACATAAGGGTTTAGACAAGATGTCCTGTTTACCTGTTTCAATAGCTAATGATGGAATAGTGTGGCAAGAAAACCTTTATTTAAATTTTACCGATACAAGTTTAGAATCATCTATAAATAAGCTACACAGATTTTAAAGAATAAAAAAATAAAAAAACAGCCATTGCTGCACTATTTGAACCTTTTTAATCACACCGATTACAAAAACAGATACAAGAAAAACAAAAATTCTACTAAAAAAAACAGAAACAAATACAAAAGTGTAATTGTATCAATTAGTTTGGATCAGTCATGTAATTAAATGTGTAATAGAGCTAGACCAAAAACTATTAAATCTTGTGCGTCTAGAAATATTTGGACCGTTTCTCTTTAACGCTATTTCATACTTTTGGCTTTCTCACTTCCTATGATCCTAGCACTTGGTCTAGACCAGTTGGGGGGGGGGGGGGGGAAGGGATATTTGGGTACATTTGACCGTAATCAGAAAGGGAACGACTTGAATTCGAACTCAGGGCTCACGTCTCCTCAAGCTGACAAACTAACTACTCTGCTAGTTCCGAAACTCTGAAAAAAAAAATGTGTCCCTCTGTCTGTGTGTCTCTGTCTTTTTCTCTTCATCTCATTTTATCACTCTTCCTTTTGTCTCTCTTCCTGACTCTGTTTTTCTCTCCCTGTGTCTGTCTGTTAATTTCTCTTCTTGTCTTTTTTTCTCCCCTCTCTCTCTCTCCCTCTCTCAATCTCTTTCTGTCTGTATCTCTCTTTCTGTCTGTATCTCTCTTTCTGTTGTATCTCTCTTTCTGTCTGTATCTCTCTTTCTGTCTGTATCTCTCTTTCTGTCTGTATCTCTCTTTCTGTCTGTATCTCTCTTTCTGTCTGTATCTCTCTTTCTGTTGTATCTCTCTTTCTGTCTGTATCTCTCTTTCTGTCTGTATCTCTCTTTCTGTCTGTATCTCTCTTTCTGTCTGTATCTCTCTTTCTGTCTGTATCTCTCTTTCTGTCTGTATCTCTCTTTCTGTCTGTATCTCTCTTTCTGTTGTATCTCTCTTTCTGTCTGTATCTCTCTTTCTGTTGTATCTCTCTTTCTGTTGTATCTCTCTTTCTGTTGTATCTCTCTTTCTGTCTGTATCTCTCTTTCTGTCTGTATCTCTCTTTCTGTCTGTATCTCTCTTTCTGTCTGTATCTCTCTTTCTGTCTGTATCTCTCTTTCTGTCTGTATCTCTCTTTCTGTCTGTATCTCTCTTTCTGTCTGTATCTCTCTTTCTGTCCTTTCTATCAGTCTCTTTCTGTCTGTATCTCTCTTTCTGTCCTTTCTATCAGTCTCTTTCTGTCTGTATCTCTCTTTCTGTCCTTTCTATCAGTCTCTTTCTGTCTGTATCTCTCTTTCTGTCCTTTCTATCAGTTTCTTTCTGTCTGTATATATAGAGAATGTCAAAGGGTTAGGGTTTGACATTTCTTTTAGTGCTGTCATAAAAAAAAAAGTGTTTTTTTCCTTGCTGTATGTCTGTCGCTTTGAGAAGCTATTCATGAATGATCACAATTCCAATCGGGCCCACTCGTATACAAAGGCCCTTTATACCACCCTCGTGTTCCTCCTTTAGCTTTGTGTCATTTTCTAGTGATATAAATCTATATGTGTGTGTGTGCATTCATATATGTAGCCTGTGCGTGCATGTGTATTTAAGTGTATATATATGTGTCTGTTCGATCACGAGTCAATACTTGCGTGCTGTACGCATACATTATAAACGAAAAGCCCGAGGGATGAAATACTAAAATACGCAGGCTCCAAAATGCTATTGAAAATGTTAAGATGTACACCTATAAAGGGGCGGTCCACGTCCGGTATAGTATGTGCATAATGAACTTATATCTGTAGTTAGTACGTCGATTATATTTGTAGTTAGACTATGTCACAGTCAGGCTAGAAAAGATAAGTTTTGTATCTGTCGTTGATTAGGAGAAGTGGAATGTACAGAGATGTAGGCCTATAGATTTTAAACTAATTTAACCAGTGCTGTAGTTTACTTTCATCGTGTCTGATACTCTTCTACAGCGGTTGGACCCCACGTTGACCTTCTAACTAGTGTAAACAAAACGGAAACTAAAACTCTAAGACCATATTACAAGGTCTTCGGGGCTTGCAAAGACCTCCCTTCAGGGAACAGTACTAAAAAAAAAAAGAGGAAGAGGAATACAGAAAAAAGAGATTGGAAGACAACATTGAAAGATGTTCTATTGATGGTAAAAGACAAAGGAATGGAGAAAGACAGTTGACAAATTTTGAGTGATGCCCCAAACGGTCCAACAGACTAAGGGATAGGTGAAGGTGATACGGTTCAGAAATAATTGGCGCTGCAATTAAGATGCCAAGCAGATGGGCAAGACGTGGGGACAGTTGAAGAGACTCCCCACAACCCAAACGCCTGGAAAAAATCTGGTTCGGGGCCTATGCACTAGACGGGATTACAGCCAGAGATGAGTTATTCTTATGTGACAATGTCAAATACGCCCTCTCTGGACAGTTCCTCTTCCCCCCCCCTTTCCGTTTTTTAATGTAGAAATCGTCCCCCCCCCGGCCCATGTTAACCATTTGCTGTATTTCAACATTGATTTTCGTTCGCAAGCAAATATGAATATTCATTCTAACAACCTTTTTTTTAACCGATTTTATTGGTCAAAAAGAGGCCTTATATTTTCAAAACGGGTTTCACCATAGCGATGGATTTCTTGCATTAATTTAAACAAGCAATTTGAGCAGTCCTCCTAGGATTCGTTCAATGGACACTGTTGCACTGAGCAAACACTGGATCCCTCTCCATTAAACAAACTTCATCCATTCTGTATTAGTTTAGCATTATACGGGTGTGCGGATAGACCTGTTTATAATTACACTGTCCTAACAAGCCTTCAATACAGGGGAATCTATTTAGGGAAAGCCCGCAATGTATTTCTGCTTGTACGTTCTACGCATAGATCTATCTCAAGGTCAAGCTTTACAATGTATCAACAAGGTATATGTGTGGAT